AATAAAAACGAAAGAATATTAATATACAACCCAGCGTGTCTGAAGATTTTTATTTTTTTATTTGTACAATAGTTTTATAGAAGCCGTTATGATTTATTTTAATAAACTATAATTCTCGTTCAAGAAAATAAAATAAGGGATATTTATTGACCGTCGGATATTCGTAATATGGAAATGAAACTGGGAAATATCCTCTTATATGGCATTGAATGCTGGACAATCTCCCCACAGATGAGGAGAAACATGGAAGCAGTAGAAATGTAGTTTTACAGAAGGATGCTGAAAATTCAATGAACGGGGCGAGTAACAAAAAAAGGTCAAAAGAAAAATCACTTATCCTAGGTATCTCAAACGAAAACTTTATTTTCATTATACAGGGTGTTTCAAAAAATTTGATATCCTTTGAGATTTAAATATCACAGAAAGTACATGCTTAAGGCAAATGAAATTAAAAAGTATTAATGTTGAAGATCATAAGATTTATTCTTCCAAATCTGAATGAGAAATTCAAAAGCATGTGGGTTATGTGAACACACAAAACGCCTTTTCTCTTCCAGTAAATAGCATTTTTATACCTGTAAAGAAAAAGATTAAAGATTAAAGAACATAAAAATACAAATAAGAAAAACACAAAAAACATAAAGACATAAAACCAAAAACAAACATTAAACATAAAGATGCTATTAAAATTTGAAGTCATTTGAAGGAAATCTAACAAATTTATTAGATTGCGAAATGATATCAAATTTTTGAAACACCCTATATATTTTTAATAGCTTTTTATACAAACATAATATTTTTTAACACTTTTCAATGTCTGGTTTCCGTTAATAGTTAAATTTGGATTAATGGATATGCGACTCGATTGATTGCATCGGAATTCCTCGAGTTCGAAATCCAGTCGAACCTAAGAGAAGTTCACTGCATGTGCTAATACCCTTGGGAATTTAATGTTCTTCTTCTCCTCCCAACTGTTTGTTAAAAAGCAATATATTCTATAGACTTGATGCAAGAAAGAAATCAAAATATTCATTATGTAACTTTAATCTGTCTCGTCAACAAGGCACATAATTACATGATATTCCTTCGTTTTCAAACGACTTGCGGCTTTCTTTTCATCTCTCAAAAAATACGCGAGAATCCATTGCTCTACGTTGAGCTTTTTTTTCAATCATCTATCTAGTTTTTGTCTTTTTGCACTAAATAAAAACCAGCCATTTCAACAGTTCAAAAGATTTTTTTCCCTTGTATTGAAGCAGTTATTAAATATTAGATTGGAAGATGGTCTCACGGTTTTAGTCCTAAGATTATTCAGATGCATTTCTTTCTATTCTAGCAATTTTCTTTTCATGACTAGAACTCCCTTCTTAAATACAAATGCCTTCAAATCCCCGTGAGTGTGTGTTGAAATTGTGTGTGTTTGTGTGTTTATCAATAAAAAAAACACTGTGGGCAAATAGAACTAACAGACAATTTTCTATATTTTTGGATGGCAAATTGTTTTCCGCCCAAAAGAACAATTCTAAAAAAGGATGCCTCGATGGATCATGTATCAAAGATACATGATCGACAACAAGTATCATATTTATGGACATAAACATTGCCTGAGTGAATTTTGAAAAGTAAGAATCGTCTTCTCCTTCCCCCGGTTTTGTTAAATAGAAATACAGACCGGTCTTCGACACCGAGATTGAATGGCAATTTGTGGTGACGTTTTATCAACAGAAAGAAATAACGATGATTCATCTGGTGTGAAAAAATGGCATGACATTTGTCAAAAAGAAGTGAAATTAACGATAAGATTGAAACTGTCCAAATTAGGACTCATTTTGCTGTCAAATAACTGATTGACTGATATTTTGCTGAAACTTGTCACTTAAATTTTTTGATATTACCAAATTTCTTTTTTTAAAATACAAGAAAATAAAAAATATCGTTATAAAGAATTGTAAAATTTTTTGTCAAAAAAGACCAAAAAAAAACAAATCTTATTGATAAATCAACCTGCAAATTGTCAATGTATCTTTTAAGAAATTAAAAAAATCATTTACAACGACCTTTAAATCGAAATTTTATCAAAATATTATTATTATTAACATCAATAATAATTTCAAAAGGGATATCCCTCGGACTGGTCTGGAAAGATCTGAGCAAACTAATTTAAATATATCATTGCTGGAAGTGATGGCATTCATTGGAATCAAAAAAATTGTTCTGAGAAGTACAGGAGAGCGTGGGGCGTGGATGGTTTAGCTTATCTATTTAATTTTTTTTTTTTCAGTGGAAAATGTCAAAATGCAATTTCTAAAATAGGTCCCTCAAGGGTCCGAAAACAAGAAACATTTTTTGCTAATTCATCGTAATGAAATAACAAAATGATAATAATAATAAATAAAAGAACCATAAGAAATTCAGGAAGTTCTGTTTATTGACGTAGCACTAAATCTGAGAGAAACACCTGTGGAATATTATCGAAATTGTCTTTTTACAAGAACCTGGTTCGTCGAGATTAAAGAATGGGGGATGAAGACTGAGACTGACGAAGAATAGTAATCTCTCTCTGGGCCTCCCGAGAAAGGAATGGACAATTTTGCTAGGTGTCCCAGATAGCATCAACATTACAAATTGCCAAGAGGATTTGCAACCTACTAATAACATCCCATATACCAAGAAAAGTTTTTTATTAAATTTTAATTTCCTATAGAACCTAATGACCATAGTTTAGCCAATACTGCAGAATACAAAGCAGAAAATATGACATGCACAAATAATCAATAATAATAATTGACATAATTTATAATATTATTAAGTTATTAATAATGGATAATAATAATAAGGTTAATCAACCTTCATAACAATTGTAAACTGGTCAAATCCGCCGTATAGACAATGTTCCAGAAAGATAAAGATCCCCTTATTTTTCATTGGCATGTCAAATTTTCAGACATCGAATTGGAGTCAACGTGATGCTAATGGCGGATTTATTAAGAAGATGTATCAAGAAGAGTCTCCAGATAATTCCAGTCAAATACCCATTCTCAAATAAGGAAAAGGAAGGATGCTTAAATTAAACATTTTGAATAAAAGCTAAAGACCGAAACAAAAAAAAAAAAAAAAAAAACATCCTTGATTGATATGGCAGTCCCCTATAGACTGCAATGTATCTTTGAAGATATTCAAAAGCTGTCAAAATACAAGGACCTTTGAAAAAAATTTGAAAAAATTTGATGGTACATGGGAACATCAACTATCCCAGTTGTAGTTGGAGCCGTCGGATTGGTTGGAAAATATTTCAGAACATTTATTGAAGGATTTATCAAAAAACGTCCATGCCTTAAAAAATACAAAAAAAAAAAGATGAGTGCAGCCCACAAGAAACGAAGGTTCTTTATCTATGTAAAAAATATGTTTGTCGGTTTTTTTTAATTAGTCAGTGGAAAATATGCCATTTCTAACCTTAGGTGGTTAGAAAGCTCACGAAAGAAATGTTACACCAGAAATCAAAGAATATAATAAAAATAATAATAATAATAATAATAATAATAATAAAGGACCTTAAAATAGAAATCTCGAAAATGTGGCATATGGGAACATCAACAATCCCTTAGAAATTGGAGCCCTAGGACTGGTTGGAAAAATTGCATTAGACTAATTGAAGGGATTCCTGGAAGTCCATGCCTCAAGGAGATACAAAAATTGTTCTGACAAGTATTAGCGCACACTTTACAAAGGGCTTTATCTATGTAATTTTTTTTTTTTGTCAGTGGAAATAATCATGATGCCATTTTTAATGCATTAGTCCCTAATATTAACCGGAAAGAAATGTGTAAACGCCAGAAATCAAAGAAAATAATAATAATAATTTCATAATAAGCTATTAAAACGTGATCTTGCAGGCATGGGATGCCAAATTCCCTCGTTATCAAATTCGAGGACGCGTTGTAGGAAGACGAGTGAATTTAACTTTATAAATGCTATTTAATATATAGAAAAAAATGAAAGTTTGTCGAAACTGCAAAAAACATGTTATTCAACTACCTTATTAGATAAAATTGTATCTCGGTCTAAAAGCAACCACCGCAGACTCCCTTTCAAATCGCTCTGTAGAGAACATTGATTTAAATTGATAGCAATGTTTACCTTTTCTGACGACCGTGAAAGATCAGATCAAATAGATAATACGTTCATACCAATTCGTAGGAAGACGAGTGAACTTAGCTCTATAAATGCTATTAAATATATAAATGTTGTAAAGTAGTTGTCACAGGAGGAGGTATTTTACTAAGTCGGTCCTTCAAAAGGTCCGACGTACAAAACGTTAGGAAGTTGCAATAATAATTAATGACACAGCAATCTAGTTGTGGTGGTTGATACTTCAAATGTCCGACATCGACTTACTTGTCAACTCCACTGAGCCCATCTCCGACCGGTACTACTACTACTACTTATTATGTGTAGGAGAGTCTATTACAATAGAATAGGTAATGTTCTGGTATAACAATAAAAAAATCTAAATTTGTCGAAACTGCTAAAGGCATGTTATTCAACTCCCTTAGACACGCAGTGTAATAACTCCCTAAAACTCTTTATGAAAATTAGCCAATAAAAAAAAAGTTAAAAAATACAAGGGTAAAATTACAGTCGAATGACATTTTAAAAACTAAAATAATTTAATTTCATTTATTAAATTATTCTTTCTGGAAACAAAAGCAACAACTTTAACTCAATGTATATGAGAGATTATATTCGTTTTAACATAAAAATATTTATTTTAGGATTCATTATAACAATGTCTCCGATAAACAATACCTGTTCAAAATTTTGACTTAATTACAAAGTTATTTCAGGAATTAGATACGAAAAAGATTAATAATATAACCGAAGAAACATCCCTTCAATGAATCAGCAAGGACAAATCAATAATAATAACAAAGCAACAGCAACAGCAATAATAATTTAATAATAATAATAATGAACTATTAAAACGTGACCTCTACGCTATGGGACGTGCTGAATCCCGACTGAGGCCAATGCATTTATTTTCAAAAATAACACTGAGAAAAAAACTCGTATTCATTCCTTCATCCATCTGCTATAGGTTAAGTGCAGACCTATGCTCTCAAAATTTGATGGGCAATACGTCTCCGAGCACAACAGTTGAGTGTGAGTTTTCCGCCCCTTCAAACATACTTGTTTGGATAGAAAACTTCAAAACAGCGGCACCTAAGGCAGTTTCATCCAATCCAAGTAAAAAACTAAATAATAACTACGCGGTTACTGAAGTGAGAACGACATACATAAAAAAAACAAAAACAAAAACAAATATTAAAGAAAGAAAACAATAAAAAGAACAAGAAGACAGAAGATAACGTTTCAGACATTGCATTTAATCTTTTGAACAATATGCAAGTTGGGTTGGAAAGTCACAGTAATATGATTGGCTGGTGTCAAGATAAATACAGAAACTGATGTGGAGGTACAGGAGAACTTAGGATTAAACTCTTCGCCTATTTCCTACCAAATGATTGACTACCACTACGACGAGGACCAGTCCATTACGGTTACCTGCTAGATTGTCCTTTCTACCTACATATAGTCCAAAACCACTTTGCTACTTCGAACAAATATATCCCTTTTGGCGGGACATATCAATGATAAATACAGATTTTTTCTGTGGAGACCAGGAACGACATCAAAAAATCTTCGCCTGAACATACGCCATAGTCTACCATTACGAAGAGGACCAGTTCATTACGGTTACCTGCTAGATTGTCTAACCCGGTTACAAATAGTCCAAAACCACTTTGCTGGAATTCTAAAAAATATATCCCTTTCCGGGACATATCAGTTGGCAATGAGATTCGAAACGACCTTTGGGTTAAAGCAAAAAAAAAAAATCAATCGATTAAGTCCAGACCTAAAAAATAAAAATATTGAAACAAATTTTATAAAAATTTAGGTTAAGAAATCTGATGTAATGAATATATGCATACACCTGGGTTCCCCCTCACAGTAATATGATTGGCTGGTGTCAGCCATAAATACAGACTGATGTGGAGGTACAGGAAAACGCCTATTGTCTTTGACGCCTATTGCCTACCACTACGACGAGGACCAGTCCATTACGGTTACCTGCTAGATTGTCCTACTCGGTTACAGTAGTCCAAAACCACTTTGATATTTCGAACAAATATATTTTTTTTAATTATCAAAATCAATGGAAATATTTTCTAAATTATATAATTTTTCCTAACATGCCCTAGATCCCTGAAGATACTGTTAATGAACAAAAATTTCCTTTTATGTTTCCTGGCACGATCAATGCAGGATTCCCAGCATATATTTAATTATATATATACCCTCCTTGTTATTTATTTTTTTGATCTACTATAATTTTTAATCCGAATTAAATGAGCCGTGGTTCTATATCTAATAGATTCATGTCATATTTTCCCATCTGTTCCATGTTCCCTTTCTCTTCATATGCTTTATGAAATTAACAAGTTTTAAATTATTTAAAAATGCAATGTCAATCGACATCTTCAGATTTTTAAATCCAATCCCCCGTCCTTCTTTATGTTTCCTCTATCATTTTAATTTATTAATGGAATCCAACTCTGTAACCCATTGCGTATAATTTGGCACCCCTGCCTAAATTTTAAATGAAATGATTTAAAAATAGGTTGACGATCAGAGGTTAAATATTTTGCACCTCTATAATCTGACTCCTTCCTAGTGGGCGAAAAAAAAATCTAGTCTGGTTACATTCAAAGCATCATACGCCGAACTTCTTTACCAGTCACCCTGATCGTTCAAATTTTTTAATTTTCCTGTCTCAAGAAAACATTGTTTAAAAAAATATTTTGATCTAAATGGAATTTGATATGTGCATGGTCAATCAATAAATTTGCAATTAAACTATCGGTCCAGATGTATTGTTCCAGTAAGTATGTTCCTGTAAACTCTAAGTTTATAAAGACACCTCTCTGTCAAAAAGAATAACAATTTTATGATCCAATGAAAATTAATTGCAGTTGATGTTTATAGAATTTTTACAAATAATTTTGCCATGAAAAAGCAACCTGTTAAAATAATTTTTTTGTCTCAAAATGCATTACAAATAATTTTGCCATGAAAAATTATTAAAAAAAATTTTTTTTAATGCATTATAAATAATTTTGCCATGAAAAACAAAAATAATTTTAAATGAAAAAAGCATTATAAATAATTTTACTTTGGAAAATGCAGTTAAAATAATTTTGATATAAAAAGCATTTTTAATAAATTTTTGCCATGAAAAAAGCATACAAATAATTTTTATATGAAAATGCATGACAAATTTTTATTTACTATTTAAATGCATTACCAAATCAGTTTTTGCCAAAAAAATTACAAATATTTTTTGCATTTTTTAAATTATATTCTTAAAAAATTCATTATTAAAATAATTTTACTATAAAAAATTTCTTTAAAAATAAAAGGTTATTGGTTTAAATTATTTTCAATTTTGCTATGAAAAAAAAAATAATATTTTAAAAATCCTATTTTAATAATTTTCCATGAATATAATCAAAAAAATAATTTATATATTTAAAAGCATGGAAAAATTTACTTTACTTAAAATTTTTTTTAATTTTGCCCATATTAAAAGCATTTTAAACAATTTTATATATTTTAATGCATTACAAATATTTTTAAAACCGTTTATCATTGCAAATAATTTTTTATATTTTATGCATAAAAAATATTTTTTTAAAAAAGCTTATTAAAAAAATTTTGCATGAAAAAAATTTTTAAATTTAAAAAAATTTTTATGTTTATTTTTACTTTAAATGATTTGTTTAATTTTTTTTTTAAAAGAATTCAAATAATTTTTAGACTAAAATGCATTGAAAAATAATTTTATATAAAATATTATAAATAATTTTACTATTCAAATGCATTACAAATAATTTTAGATATGAAAATTTGTTTGAAAATGATTTTTTTAAAAAATGAATTTTCCAATTTTTTTAATATGAAAATTCATTAAAATAATTTTTAAAAAAATAACATTAATTTTCTTGTTTGAAAATGCATTGAAGGGAATGTGAAATTGGTTTAAATTTTTATTCAAAATTTGAGAAATCCATTCATGAAAACATTATTAATTTTTTTCTGCCTTCTTTTTAAAAATGATTTCTTGTTTTTTATTTTTTAAAATGCATTGCAAAGATTTCTATTTTTAATATCAGGTTCAAATATTTTTTATGAAATGCATTTGGGGATTTATAAATCTTTTATTTTTTCTAAATTTTTCTTTCTTTTTTATATTTTTTACTATAAAAATTCCAATTTCTATTACTATTAAAATTTTTCATATAAAATAATCTTATTATTTATTCAATTTTCTTTTTCTATTTCACAAAAATTTTTTATTTTTAATTTCAGAATATATTTTAAAATGAATTATATTTATTCATTTAGATTTTCCAATTTAAATACAATTTAAATTTTTTTTTTTTCAAATTAAATACATTCTTTTTCTACTATGAAAATTTTTTTAATGGTTTAATCTTTTTATTTTTATTTTTTCTTTTTTTTTTTTTTTTTTTTCCTTCCATTCATTTATTTCTATATTTAAAATTTTTTTTTTTATTCTCTTTTCTTTTTTCTAAAATCTTGGATTCTTTTTTTATTTTGTTTTCTTTTTATTTCCATTAATATACATACATTTTTTTTTCTTTATTTAAATTCTTTTCCAACAACTATTTCCTTCTTTTTTCATTTTTTTTTTCTTTTTTTTCATTTTCTTTCTTCATTTTTCATTTTATTCTATTTTTTTTTTTTTTATTTTTTAATATTACTTTTCTTTTTTTACATTTTTGTTTTGAACTCTTTTCAAACTATTCATTTTTTTTTCTTTTTCTTTTAGCTATTCCTTTTTATTTTCAAAAAATTTTTTCTTTTCATTTTATTTATCTTTTTTTTTTTTTTCTTTTTTCTTTTTTTTCTATTGGTTTTTATTTTTCTTTTTTTTTTTGAAATTTCTTTCTTTCATTTTCCTTTTTTTTTTTCTTTTATTTCTTTCTTTTTTATACAATTTCATGAATTTTTTCTTGAAATTTCTTAAAATGAAATTTCTTTTCTTTTTTTTTTTTTTATTTGAACGAAAATTTTATTTTTAAATCTTTTAAAGGATTTTTCCTTTAAGAAATTTTTCTTTTCTTTTATTTTTTTAATCTTTCCTTTTCTTTTTCTCTTTTTTTTTTCTTTTTTATTTTCCTTTTCTTTTTTTATTTTTCTTTCTTTTCTTTCTTTTATTTTCTTTTCATTCAATCAAAATGTTTATATTCTTTTCTTTCTTTCTTTTTTCTTTATTCTTTTCTTTTTTCTTTCCTTTTCTTATTTTTTCTTTCTTTTCTTTCTTTCGTTTTCTTTTTTCTTTTTTTAAAAATCTTTTTATATATTTAATTTTCAAAATCTTTTTTGTTTTTTCTTTTTATTTCCTTTTTTCACAAATTGATTCTTTTCTTTTATCAACGTTTTCATTTTAAAATTCTTTCTTTCTTTTTTTTTTTATTATTATTCTTTCTATATATTTTTTTTTTTATTTTCTTTTCTTTCTTTTCTTAGTCTTCCTTTTTCTTTTCTTTCTTTCCTTTTCTTATTAATTTTTTTCTTTTCCTTTTCTTTTTTTTTCTTTCTTTTGGTTTTTATTCTTTCTTTCTTTTATTTCCTTTTCTTTTTTCTTTTTTCTTTTTTTTTTTTTATTTTCTTTCTTTTCTTTTTCTTTTCCTTTTTTTTTTTTTTTTTTTTTTTTCTTTCCTTTTTTTTCTTACTTTCTTTTTTTTTTTTCCTTTCTTTTATTTTTTTCTTTCTTTCTTTCTCTTTTTCTTAAATTTTTTCTTTCTTTTCTTTCCATTTTTTTAATTTCTCACAGATTTTTATTCTTGTTTCATTTCGTCTCCTCTCGTACAAAATTTTTTTTCCTTCATTATTTCTTTTTTCTTTTTTCATTCATTTTTTCTCATTTTTCTTATTTTTGTATCATTTTTCTTTTCATTTTTCCTTTGGTTTTTTTTTTTTTTTCATTCCATTTTTTTACTGTTCATTTATTTTTCTCTTTTTAGTTTCTTTTTCAATTCAGTTATTCTCTTTTATGTTATTTCTTTATTTCTTACTTTCTTTTTTCTTTCTTTATTTCCTTCTTTCTTTTTTCCTTTCTTTCTATGTTATTTTCCTTCTTTCCCTTTTCTTTTCGATTTTACTTTCTTTCCTTTTCTTTCGATTCTTTTCCTTTTTTTTTTTTTTTTTTTCTTTTTTAATTCTAATCTTTCTATATATCCTTCTTTCTTCCGTTTAATCCTTTTCTTTAGCGTCTACCTTTTTTCCCTTTCTTTTTTCCTTTCTTCTTTCCATCACGTTCTGTCTTTTTTCTTTTTCTTCCTTTTACGGTATTTCCATTTTATTTCCTCCCCCTTTTACTTTCAGTTTTTTCATTCACATTTATTTTAAATGTTTTTTACTTTTTCTTTTTTTCACTTTTCTTTTTTTTTTTTTTATTTATTTTTTTTTTTTCTATGAGAAATGATTTTTACTTTCATTCAGTTTTGCATTTTTATCACGTTTTTTTCTTTCTTTTAATTTTACTTTCTTTATTATTTATTTTGTTTTTTCTTTCTTTTATTAAATCTTTTTCATTCTTATGTACTTTGTTTTTTCCTTCTTTTATTGCGTTTATTTATCTTTTATTTTATCTTTTATTGCGTCTATTCAATTTTACATTCTTTTTTCTTTTTTTTTTTTTTTTTCTTTCTTATTCTTTCTTATTTTTTTTGTTTTTTGTTCATTTTATTAAAACTTTTTTGAAATTTTTTTCTATATTCCAATATTCTTTTTGTCTCTGTTAAAAAGTCATTTTCTCATTCTTTTTTTTAACGTTTCTTTCTTTCTTTCTTTTTTTTTTCAATTTTACCCTCTTTTTTTTCTTTCTTTCACTTTAAAATCATTTTTTTTTTTTCTTATTTTGTTTTTTTTCTTTTCTTTTATCAAAACTTTTTTAGAACCAATATTTCTTTCTTTATTTCTTTTCTTTGTACTTTCTTTCAAGGAAATTTCATTTTTCACGCTTGCTTTTTATCCCCCTTCAATGTCTTTAAAGAGCAAAACATTTGGGGGCATTTTAATTATTTCCTCTTCAAACAAAACAACCGCTGTAGTTAATAAAGAGAAACAATTGATTTTTCTTTTTCTGTTTTTTTTTTCTTTTTCTTTTATTTTTTTGTGGGGTGGAGGTACATTTTCAAAGAACTTTTTTAAAAATTACTTAATTTTCAATTATTTTTCTTCCTTTTAGAATATATTCCTTTCAGGATAAGAGATATTTCCTGAATTGTTATTTTATTTTAACAGTCTCAAAATCTCTTTATTTTTTTTTTCAGCAAAATTTTATTTTCCTCTGTTTTTCAGCAAATTTTACATCCCTGAATTTTGTCACTCGCCTTATTTTAGTATTTTTTTTAATGAAATTAATCTTAAATTTCTCTTCTTATAACATTTTTATTTCAATTTTTTTATTGTTTTTGTTGCCGTAATTTTAACGGCTTCATTCAAGGTTTTCAAGTTTTTACTTTGCTTTCATTTATTTTCGTTCTATTTACATGTCTGGCCTTTTATTGATTTACTCATCAGTAAATGATCAGCTAAATCGATTCATCTCCGACCTTAATCGATGAATAATTTCATCTCTATAATATTTTTAGTGACTACTCTATCTTTGTTTTGTAATTATTATAGCTGAAATTATTATTCATATATATATATATATATATATACATTCAGTTTCATATGATTTTGGAGGTATGTTTCATAAATTGTGTGTGTGTGTGTGTGTGTTTCATGGAAATATATAAAACAAATTTTGATGCGTTCAAAACAAAAATATATGATTTATATGGAATAAATATATATATATATATATATATATATATATATATATATATATATACTTATTGAATTTATAAGTCTGATGAAATGGATCGTGATTACGATTCCAATTTAATAAATTATAAAAATGGAATATTAATGTTTGAGCCTTTAATATATATATATATATATATATATATATATATATATATATATATATATATATATATATAACATATATATAATCGAAACAGCCGTCCAGTGCTTTCTGCTTTCAGTTGAGGTTTCTTCTAGACTCAATGAATTACTTAATTATGACTATCTCAAATCCGCCTAATAATTTCTATCACTTGTATATCCTTGCCTGAACCGGCTTCTAATGTTCATTTGGGACAGTCCTACGGGTAAGGGAAAAATCAAATGAGTTCCACCACGGAATTTGTGATCGAACAAAATTACATTTTAGTCATAATTCATTACCTCTTTGTCAATTTGCATATGGTTTGACGTTTGCCTCGTGTCGTAATGGTCCGGGTTTCAATCCGGCTAGTGGATTCGCACGACTGATGGATCTCAAATCTAGGACAAAACGGGAATGTCGTTTGAATCTAAATTATTAAAGAATACTAAACAAGATGACATAAATAATTATTTAAAATGAAAATATAATAATATGATATATATATATATATATATATATATATATATTTGTACTGGTAATTTGTATGGTATGTAATCCAGGTGGACCTTAGTAATATCAGATATTAAAACTGATCCACACAGAGATCTCAGTGTATTTATTATAATAGACCATATATATTTTTCTTTTAATATTTTCCATTCCAAGACAGGCTAAATAAAAAGATAAAGACTTAAATTTTCATGGATGGCTGCAAAGAGAAATATATCCACAAATGGTAATATTGGATTTTTTCATATAAAATATATATATATATATATATATATATATATATATATATATATATATATATATATATATATAAATATAGGATTGGTTTGTAAACTTAATAAAAAAAATTTCAACAAATACTATTTTAAAAGAATCGGCATAATCATGTTCACACAAACATGTTTAAAGGAAAGAAAAAAATCGATATAATATTTATTTTGTAATATTTTCGTTTATATTTTAATGAAAACTTTAAGCAATTGTAGGATATTGCATCTCCACATGTCATATAACAAATTTATTTCATTTTTGTTGTTTTTGATTTTGTTTAGATGACATAAAAAAAAAATATGGGGTAACCCATGCCGTAATAAAATATTTTGAACACAATCATGTTTTCAGCTACAGATATTTGTGTATATAATTTATTTTATTTTTGAAAATTTTAAAGATAAATTTTGTTTCCACATCTCACATTTTATTTTTGATGGAGTTTTTTGTATTCTGAAAACCTTTATTCTAAATTCAACACCCTTTATTAAAAGAAGACACCAAATATCGGGAAACAAATGGCTATTTTTTTTTTGATTTTATTTTATTTTTATAATTTTCGAAATAAATAATTATATATATATGCGTGTGTGTGAAATTTGTGTATCGTGTTGCCTATATATCTGTTTGTGTGATCCTTCAAATTTTGTTTTTTTTTTTTAATAAGTTTGAAAAGTGTGTGTGTTTTTTTTAACAGGTCTATGGTTTTGAATTGAAAGAAAAAGGAAAATGATTAAAGAAGAATTTTAATATCTTAAGGTTGAAATTCGGTTTTTATTCTAGATAAGTTTTTATAAAATTTTTAACTTTTTTTTAATTCCAATGGGTTACACTATGAATAAAAAAAAAAATGACGACCATTGAAAAATTTCATATGATTTTTAAATGAATAAATTTTAATTTTCTGATTTTCAGATACAAAAATCTTGGACATCATTTGATTTTGTTCTTTTACCTCTTGACCAATTTTGATTATTAAATGTAATAATTCTTTTTATATGTTTTTTTTGTGGTTTATAAATATAATTCTAGTAAATAAAATAGAAGAATATATATTTCATTTGTACGCTACTTATGAAACAAATTTCGCCTTTTATTGCACGGGTCGACAGTCCGCTTCTTCAAACGACGGTTTGTCCACAATACATCCATTTTTAAATAATTAATTTTCAGCCGTTTTATTTTAATTTTAATTTTTAATAATGAATATGCTTATAAGACGCGTAAATTTCATATATATTATATTTTATTTCAAAAAATTTAGCTATAAATAGATGGAAATGGATTGGGAAATTTAAATATCAATTTAATTGCAAATAATTATAAATGAATGTTTTGGATCCTTGTTTTGAAACATGAGAATTTTTTCATAAAGCGATGGAATATTATTTTTAAAAAATAATTATAAATATATATATATATATATATATATATATATATATATATATAAATTCAAAAATTTGCGACCGTCATTCATAAAAAACAAATATTTTTTTTTTCGGATTACATCTCTATTTTCGTTGTCCTCTTATTACCGAGAAGTAAAAACAAGAACAAAATCTATTTCCATACCTGAGGATGTCTGTAGGAACAGACGAAAGCTTGTAAAAATTAAAAAGACCTTATGCAACTGGAATTTATAAACAAGGATCATATCATTCATATACAGGTTCGGGGTTGGTGTATCTTATTTATATTGTTTGCGAAGATGTATTCTCGCCATTTAAATCATTAACCTCTATATTTGTTTTTTGTATGAATGATTCATGAATTTATAAATTATATATGCATATTTAATTGAAATATATATATATATATATATTCTATATATATATATATATATATATATATATTTTAATTTATAATTAAAATTCAAGTATTTTATAGTTTTTTGAAATCAGATATAATACAAATTTTTAGCAAAATGTCCATAAAAACGAGAAAATTTCTGCGTGGAGAGAAGATTAGTAATAAATCACGAATTTGGAGATGTCATTTGAATTGCATTTGAAAAGTTTCAGATTATATCTTTTAGGAAAGTTATTTATTAAGAGGAACGGAGTTCTTTGTATATTAAAGGTGAGACATTTTAACTATTGGAGCTTAAGAATAAGTTTCATTTAAAAGTTTCTGAATGAAAATTAGGACTGAGATCGCCAACCTAGTAGCAAATTTCTTCATCATGCAGTTTGAGAACTAATGAAATAATGATGTGGATTTGTATAAAATGATTTTAAAATTTACATAGGTAACAGTTACGTTTTTTAAGAGAGTGAAAGAACGATATATTAATATTTGTTATGTTCCATGATTATATATGATATATATTTATATATATGTATGTTAATTTTTATCTATTTAAAGTGATATACTTTTATTTTTTATATTACTAGTCGTAATATCTAAATATGATATTTTTAATCAACGTTAAATATATAAAAATAGAAAATTTTTTTTTTTTTTTTTTAAATAGAAAAGAGAAGAAAATTTTAATTTAATGAATTTGATTAGTATTGCTTGGTATCGAATTAATTGCAACATATCATAGACGTAATCGTCTTTAATTTAATTTGATGTGTTTAACAGCATATCGAACCCTTATTAGTCATTTAATGCCGAAATTGAATTTCAAAAAAAAAATATATTTGAAATGATAAAAATATAATATTATTTATATTAATAAAATTGAATATATATATATTTATATATATATATTTCAAAAAAAATTGCAATTAATTTAAAAATTCATGAATTATTCATACAAAAATTTTACAAAGGTTAATGATTTAATTGGCGAGAAATCCATCGTCGCGAACAATTCAAATAATATACAATAAATTGGTTTTTTTGTATGAATGAAAAGATCCTTGTTTCTATAAATTTCTGTTGCATGAGTTTTTATTATTTTTATATCAAATTGTTTAAAGATATCCTCAGGTATTGAATAGTTCTTGTTTTTTATATGTTAAAGGAAATATTATATTATGATTCGAACAAACGTCAGATTTATAAATCTTTTAAGATTTTTGAAAATTGATTTTCAAAAACACAAGCAAAAATGGTGTTATGGTATATATGAAAGCTTTATAGAACCTGCTTTCCAACATGTCTTTGTATTTAAATGGGCGTCCTACATTCCTGTAGCATGCCTGATCAGTAGTGGCTGTAAATTTGGATCTACAAATATTCTAAATCATGCGAGTGCATTCTTGTATATATATATATATATATATATATATATATATATATATATATATATATATAGTCATAAACAATGTATTGGTTACATTGAAACTATCTAGAAGGAAAAATTTTATTAAAAATCCTAAATTAAAATAGATTGAATTTTCGGTAATCTTTGCTAACAATAATAAAATATTATGCTCTTATATATTTAAGGAAATTTCTTATAAAAGGTTTATTCCTCTCATCTTGACAATGGAACGAGACTATGGATTTTAAGTTTTAAATTTTATAATTAAATTTATAAATTTATTTTCAGTTTTGAAAACTGTTTTCTTTCCTGTGTCGCGAGGAATAACATTTTAAAAAGAAAATAATATATATATATATATATAATATATATATATATATATATATAAAATATATAATTTACCCAATTGTAATCATAAATTTTACCGTTAAATGTACTGCATAATTATCCATCCACAAAATTTTTTTAAGATCTAAATATAATTAAGTTTTTTTTCCAGGTTTTCAGATAAGATGTTCAGCCATTTTGACATCATTTGTCGTAAGAAAGAAGGAAAAACGCTCTGAGTTATTTAGCTAGAAAGAGAACAGGTTAAAATCGTTTTGTATCAGGCCACTGTTTTCCTAAATGAGCAATGGTAAGAGCAAAAAGATCATTCAGGCCTTCAGTAATGCTACTAACATTCATATTCTGGTTTCCATCCTTAAATCGACTCAAGAACCATCAAGAAAACGTTGAATAAGTTTTAAAAAAGGAACATTATAGAGGAAAACTGGATCAAGTCATCACCACAGGATGAGGGATGATCATTTCAACTTAGAGCTAAAGAGATCAATTACAAAAGATCCAACTCAATCCATAAGACGTTTGGCATGTGAGAGAGAAGTTTCAGATATGACAGTCCAACGAGCAATGAAAAAAAAAAGCTTGAAAATGAAATCGTAAGGGAAGCCTGTGAGGTACTTTGTTACTCCAGGACAGAAAGTTTGAAAGTTAGAGAGGGCGAAGATCATCTTGAATAAGTTGGAAAATGATCCTGAAAATCTACAAAAATTTTAACTACAATGTCAATCGCCATCTTCTGTCTTCCTGACGCCGCCTGTTCTTTTGTTAATTCTTTCTTTTCACTGATTTCTTTTCATTTAAACGAAAAACATCGATCACGTTATATGTACGGTGTTATCTTTAATTCTGAACCCGTTATCAAGAACCAAAAAAGATGCGATAGAAATTTGTAAATCCGAAAAGAAATATATAAGTTAAGGACTAGAAGATGTATGGAAGAGCCTGAGACAAAAGGGAAAAGAAGAAATATATGTAATTAGCAAAACAGTACAGAAAATATATGTTAAAATGATGAAGAGAAAATTGGTATTTAAAGAATGGAATTTTTCAGTATAGATAAGGATTTTTTAATAGAAAGCATTTCGAGAGGATTTTATGAATATAAAGATAGATAGATAGATAGATAGATAGATAGATAGATAGATAGATAGATAGATAGAAAGAAAAAAGATGGATGCAAAAATTGAATGAAACAAGTAGGATTTAACTCAGAATTTAATGAAGATAAACGGTAAAAAGAAACGCTAAATTTAAATTCGATTGCAAAACGCAGAATTGAACATTTTAAGAAAGAAAGAAAGAAAGAAAGAAAAAAAAAAGCAATATGCAGGTTTTAATATGAGAATAAAAACAATGATGAAATTTTTTAAAAAATACGGAATTTATATTGAAGGTAAAACAGAAAAAAATTTAAAGTTTGAGATTAAACCAAGATAATTTAGATAGATAGATAGATAGATAAAAAGAACTATATAAACAGAGGTAAAAATTCATATATAGATTTCCACAAAGAAACATAGATTAAATAAATATATAATATATATATATAAATATAAAAAAAATGAAAAGAATGATATAAACCCTTAATAAAAAAATCAGATAGAAGATAGATAGATAATAAGATAGAATAATAGATAAATAAAAAAGAATATTTTAAAGAAAAGATAATGAGAGACTGAAATAATAGGCAGATTTATATATATATTTATATATATTAAAAGATATAAATTAAAGATTATATTGCAAATGGAATTTTTGAAAAATTCTTAGATAAAAAGGGTGAGATTTTGTTTAGATAGATAGATGATAGAATTTTAGATAAATAGATTCAAAAAACAGAAAGAAAAAAGATGCATGAGAAAATTGAATGAAAAAGTGATTTAACTTTTTAGAATTTAATGAAGATAAATAGTCAAAAGAAACGCTAAATTTAAATTCAATGCAAAAAACTCAGAATTTAAATATTTTATAGAAAGATAAGATTTAAAGAAAAAAGAAAGAAAAGAAAATTAATGCAGAATTTAATATGAGAATAAAAACAATGATTAATTTTTGAAAGAATACGGAATTTATATTGATATAAAAACCTTGTTTTTAAAGATAAGTTTATTTAAAGATAGATAGATATATAAATTTAACAGAAATCCATTTGTTAGGATAGATAAAAATTTTTAAAACGTTAGATTTAAAAATTTATTTTTCAATGCATGAAAAAATTATAATTCCAAAAACAAATGTAGGTTTTATGAAAGAATAAAAACAAGATAAATTTTAAATAAAATTTTAATTTAAATTGGTTTATTAAACATGAATATTTAAGTTTTAAATATTTGAAAAATAAAATAGAAGATATGCTAGAATAGATAATAGATAGAAAGAATGGAAACGAATGTACAAATACAACAGAAAATAGACATCAAAATGAACAGCTAAAAGATCTTATGTTTTTAGATTTTAAATACGATATTGAAATAGATAAAAAAAAAATAGAAAGAGATGTTTTACAAAGATTTTAGAAACATAATATAAAACAAACATACATAGAGCAAAGAAAGATCCCAAGATTGATAGATAGAAGAGATAATGAATAAATAATGAGAAAAATAACTGAAAGCTCAAATAGGAACAGAAAAGATAGATAGATAGATAGATAGATAGATAGATATGAAAGAGAAAAGAGATGAGGAGAGGGAAGTCGAAACAGAATGAAAGGATAAAAATAAGAGAGATAGAAGGAAAAAAATTTATAGATTCCAAATATGAGTGCAGAGAAAGATTAAAGTCCATTTCAAGAGGGAAAATAACACGGTCGTTTTGAGAGATATAAAGAAAGAAAGAAAGAAGCAAAGATTGAATGAACGAACGAATAAAAGAAAGAAAGAAAGAAAGAAAGAAAGAAAGAAAGAAAAAGGTGGAACTTTTTTTAATCATATCACCCCAATGAAGGCAATAAAACCACTAAGACGCAAGGAGTTACTGAGTGTGAGAGAATATGAAAAAAAAAAGAATATTATTTAGGAGAGACAACAATAAAAGGACAAAAGGCAAAAGATAACGATTGACATTACATTTAATTTTTTGTAGGTCAAACTTGATAGGAAAGCAAGAATTCCGTAAGCAAGAAGTACGAGAAAAGAATCTGTTAGCATAGAACATACGGTTACATCTATCCAACTCAACTGTGAGACAATACGCCAATCTAGTACTGCGCTTAAATTGATAAAGTCTATGTACCAAAGGAGAAAGTTCATCAGCACAATTACCAAGAAAATATTTATAGAAAAGGAACAGGAAATCTACGTTAAAGCGGTGAGGAAGTCACTGAAGCGGGGATGCCAGGTCAGGACCAATATAATTGCAGATCCCTCTTTGAATTATATCAAGAATCTCAAAATATATAGCAGAAGCATCAGACAAGATGTGACAGCAATATTCAAAGCAAGGATGAATGGCAGATTTACAAATGAGTATGATTGATTCTGGCGAGAAAGATTGTGTAGCCCGACACAGTGAACCAACTTTCCTAGCAGGAGATCTAGCAATTGATTCAATTTAATCTTTCCACTGCATACCAGCGGAGAACTTTAGTCCCAGGAAGCGGAACGAGTCACTCTCCTAGAGGTTAGCATCAGCCATGCTGACTGAATGCAGAAAGGATTCTCTAAGACGATTAAAAGAGAGATGTTTTGATTTGGATGCATTAAAATTAACAAGCCATTCCTTTCAGCAGCTACGAACAGATTGACCTCATCTGACCGGAGCAAACTTACTATTAAGACGGTGTGTCATTAGTATAGGCACTGGGTCATCAGGATTGCCCTTCATGAAAATTCGGAACGGCGTATGTCCACGGACAGGGCCCTGGGTGACGCCTGCATTAATGAAAATAGATCGAGAAGAGTGGCCATTCAAGATAACATTCATTTTGCGATTTGATAAGAAAGACAAAAACAGTACAAAAGTTCGCTGAGAACTTGTGAAGGTGACTACTGTGCCATAGCCTGTTAATTCTCATCTAAAGATTGATAGACTCTTTCAGCAATGATCGTTAATACATCAGCAGTTAAAATATAGAAGCGGGCGCCATATTGCTTATCTGAAAGAAGACACAGCGAGGTGTGAAGGTTAACTGATTCAGAGTTAATTAGAACGTCTAGCACTGTGCCAAAAAGATGGAAGAGGCCGATAGTTATAAAATTGAGAAGTAACAGAAAAGTAAATATAGATGTGAGCGGACAAACATAGATAGATAGATAGATAGATAGATACCAAATTTGATAGATAGATAGTCTGAGAACGTTGATAGATATTATAAAAGATAGATAGATAGATGATAGATAGATAGAGATAGATAGATAGATGAGATAAATATGAACAGACTCAGATAGATAGTTAAATAGATATGATGAGGCTCAGATAGATAGATAGATAGATGGAGATAGATAATGAATGAATGAATATGGATAGACTCAGATAAATAGGTAACAGATTTGATCCAGACTAGATAGATAGATAGATAGATGGATAGATAGATAGATGGCATGATGATGGGAATAGACTCAGATAAATAGGTAAATAGATATGATCAAAACCCAGATAGTTAGATAGAAAAGTCTGAGATAGATAGATAGATAGATAGATAGATAGATAGATAGATAGATAGATTTAAAGTTGGAAAGAGTGATAGATAGATAGATAGATAGGTTAGATAGATATAGATAAATCAGTCCATGATAGATAGATAATGATAATATCTGATAGATAGATAGATAGATAGATAAAAATAGACTCGTCTAGATAGGTAAAATAGATAGATAAACTTTAGCTAGATAATGAAAGTCTGAGATAGATAGATAGATAGATAGATAGATAGATAGATAGA